TTAAATGATAAGACCACTTTGCGCCTGTGTCTCTCATCACCTTAATTAGGTACAAAAATGTAACACCTACCTTCCGGAAGAAGCTAGAACAAGCGAACTTTTCGACCCAAATATTCCCATCATTTTTTTAAAAGACAAAGAAAGTAAAGTTAAGTGGTCTTTAATGTTTCAAATGATTTGAAAGACGTACATTAATTTAAAAATAATATGATTATAAATTTCTATACGATTGTCTAATAGCTTTCAAACTTGTCTACGCTGAGTAATTTGACGGCTTAAAAGACACATTTTAAAGGAGATCTTTCTTGCAATTTACAAGGCTTTGAAATTAAGAACGAGAGACATCGCCTTTGTTTTTTTGGAAAGAAAGAGGGGGGTGCATCCACTGCGTCGATTGTCATTTGGGCTCTGGAACGGTCCCAAAACTTATCTTGGGTGAAGAAACATGTAAGGGAACTGACTGGGTCTGCTTCAAACAGTGCCAGACCTAAAACGACGATCGATGTAAGGAAAAGAGACCCCTTTTTCCCCTTATAGGTAAAATGTTGATTTTAAAGGGACAGATAAGCCATTTTTTTTTACCAATCATACTTTAGTCTCAGAAACTGGATTTGTTTAGCTGAGCTAATCAGTAATAGTGTTCACAGCTCAACATCGAAATTTTAGCCTTCAAATCCATATGTGTCCAGAATTATCTACGTTTGAATGTTAACATGACGACTCGTCAATTTAAGATACTGTGTGATATATAGAAAAGACATATATAGAAATAGTGAGTAAAATTTCTGGATGGAAGTACTGTTAAGTGACTATTTACATATATATTCAAGACACACATCAAACCCCCAAAATGTAGCAACTGTCCCTTTAATGTATACCAAGTTTCATTGCTGTGGCATCACTCCTTCCGTGTCAGCCTATGAACTTTTTAGCCCCCAATCCCCCACCCCCTCCCCCCCCCCCCCCTTCAATCTCGTTAATGATCTATCTATTGGTATTCGTTCAAAGGCATTTACAAATTACATGAAAACATGCCTTTCAATTTGAAATCTTAAAGCGTTTTTCTCAGATTGTTTCTCAAATAACAGTTTACACTTGATAAAAGTAAACGACAGAAAATTATCTGTTAAAAGGAAAAAAAATTGAAAATTGAAGGAAAAAATTGTGTATTTTTGATGAAGGCTATTTGATACAGTATAAAATATTAAGATTTTAAATGTGAATATAAGAAAAATTCCATTCTGGAATGTTGGCAAATTTTAGTTATTTAAGGTCTCGACGATATGTCAGTTTTTGATTTTTGAAGGGTCTACGAGTTTATACGACATCGATCCCTTGATCCAATAGGCTTGGAATATCATACAACATTTATTTTGATTTCACAAAGTGTGCACGAGTTTATACAACATCGATCACTTGATCCAATAGGCTTGGAATATCATACAACTTTATTTTGATTTCTGAAGGGTCTGCGAGTTTATACGACATCGATCCCTTGATCCAATAGGCTTGGAATATCATTTTGATTTCACAAGGGGTTACTAGTTTATACGACATCCGTCCCTTGATGAAGTCTTTAATTTATTCTAATTAAATTTATTTAGGCGCTTTCTTCATTTCATTTCTTGATTTCTTCATTTATATTTTTGAAGGATGTTCGAGTTTATATGGGTCCATCCTTTAGCCAAAATTTCCGAACTAAGGTCTCGAACAATTTGTTAATTTTGAGTTCGCATGGGTGTTCAAAACAATACAGTGCTTGATTTTATCTCGCCCTAATGCTCAGAGATAAAGTTACAAAACCTGGTTAAAAAAACCTTTTCCAATATCAACTCATGCATGTTTATATCACCTAAATTCTCAGCAATAACATTACTGAACTCGTTTTAGAAACTAACCACTTGTTCATTGATACGAGTTTTTATCAAATCGTACGATCGGCAATACGGTTGCGAATGGACGTTTCCATTATCTAATTTAGTTGTTTTTCAATAATTGAGTACTTAGCATGCACGAAACACTTAAGAAGTAATATTTGGTAATTTGACAGGCAACATTTTAAAATGTTTGTTAAACATGCTTAAAACGTCTTGGTAAATTGAGATATTTAAGTAGGTCTTGAAAGCCGTATTAGCAGGCATTATCAATCGAAGCCGTTTCATGTGCTCGTGATTTGCAACGTCATTACTAATTGCGTAGTAGGTTGAAATGCTTGATTAGTCTTAAGCCAAATGGAACTCTATAACATCTTTTTGAGGGTGGGAAGATGGAAGGCGAGATTGAGGGGGAGGGTGTGTGGGGTGGGGGCAGTTACATCTGAATTGAATCAATTTAAATGGTAGGTATTATGAATTGGTGAAATTGCTAAAGACACAATTGAAATCAAACGAATCTCTTATTTTTTTTTTCGGTTCATTCCTTTCTGTGTGGTACTTCACTCATTCTAGCCTGAACTCCCCTTTTTAAATGGCACTCGAAGGGAACTTGAAAGGAACATAATCTAATACAGTGGTGTAACCTATTTTCGTGGATATAAAGATTCAACACCGAATTTCGTCAAAGATAAAAAAACGAAAAAAATTGTTTATAATTGATTTTCTTTATGAATCCTTCACTTTGACCCATATTTCATGAGCAACCAACTCGGCAACGGCGGCAGAATGCGTCACCTATTTTCGTGTACAATGTTTGATCTATAAATAAGTCGAGAAAAACACGTTGTATAGATACCGGATGGTATAATTAACTTCTCTTAGTATTTATCTTTAATATCAATTCATTATAACTAGTGACAATTCCTTCAAAGAACCACGATTTAAAAAAAAAATAGTGACTGACAAAATATGATACGTAGCGTGATTTATTGCTAAAAGTCACTGAAACAACATAAGAATATGGCCCACTTTGTGTTCCATAGAAATTTTCTGCTGACACGGAACCCGCTAGTTGATCACGTGACTTCATTCGTTGGAATACATTCTAGCAGACGACACTTGGAATTCCGATTACCGCTTGGGATTATAAGGAAATTAGGCCGATAAAAAATGGTGATGTTTGGTAATAAGTGAAATCCGCCATTTTGTATTTGTCAAAGTATACGTTAATACATTTTACCATGCTTGAAACTACTGGATTCATTCTAATAACTGACATTGTAGAGAAAACCCATGTTTATTAAAACAAACTAATGCGGGGGTCGCGCAAGGTCGCTCATGTAAATTATTAATCCTTTCCGGAAATCCACGAATAATAGGTTTCCACGAAATTAGGTTACTTGACTGTATTCTAATACTTTTTAGTTGACTAGCAGATAGAGCTAAGATTTTAATTACTGTATGTCTTTTCAAAATGGAACCCTGGCATATAGTTCGCCTGCAATAATATTATATATGTTGTGTCTGTAATTATAGAAATACTTAACTGTATATGACGTCACTATGGCAAGAGCTACACAGAATCTCTTACAAAGTTTTTTAGCTAAGCATATCAGTAATAATGTTCTTTGCTCACCGTCGAAATTTGAGCCTTCAAATCCATGTGAGTCCAGAATTATCCGTGTTTGAAAGTTAAAAACACGAGTCGTCTTCTCTTCTCGTCTTCAGACATTGCCATAGATATAAAGAAGTGAAAATTCTTTCTAAGGTATTTTTAAAGGATTTGTGCGACTTTTATACATTTCTAGTACTTCTGAGGACTATTTACATATATATTCAAGAACTAAATCAACCTCCGAAAATGGCGATCTATGGCCTTAAAGCTGGTAGCAACTCAAGGTCAATATTGTGGCTATTAGAAGAAGTAGTTTCTATTAAAAAATACCACACCATCCTTCTAGCAATTCTTGACTGCTTTTAGTCAAAAATACAGTACAAAGTATTTCGAAATCCTACTGTATTTACGTTCATTAAGCGAAAATCATTTACGTTAGTTCGCTTATCCCTTGAAGGACGTCTATAAAACTATTTTAGATACACTCATTAAGTCTTCAATGTTTGACCTTTGTGAGTGGGGTGGGGAGTTCTCTGATAGAAGGGTCTGCACTCAAAATGCTACTGTGGTCGCTTAAGGTTAGATATTTGTTTCATCTATCCGTATCTCTTTTTAAAATGAATATTCAATGTACGATTTGGCTATGATTAAACTACCTGGGCAGTTTGTTGCATTCAAACGGATGAATTCGCCGAAATATTTTATTCAATTGTTCACGAACCATAGGTAATCACTCTGAGAAGTGTTATGGGTAGGTAAATTAGAGCTTGTTTTAGTTTGCGCTGGGTGATATGATGATTTTAGTACAAGCCATTATGCCTATTTGATTTATTGCAGAGCTGCAGTATCGCGATTAACGATTCAAGGGAGACAATCGTAATATATCTAGACCACTATTAAATCATTTATTTTGTTAGAAGACTTGCTTTACATCCTATTTATCTGCTCTTGGTATGAATGGGAGGGGGGGATCATGTCATGTGTGGAACCGCCAAAACTCCATGACGTTAAATAATAAGCAGAGTTGGTGTAGTGTAGCGTTGCACTAGAGTACAGGGTTTTGGAGGTGTGCAGGGGTCTTGAAGGCAAAGCCCCCCTAAAGCTCTCATATCACTCTCTTCCCTTTGCTGTTAATTGAGATACTACGCTGGCCTTTCTCAAATTAAATGAGCACCTTCACTATCCGTTCGTCCAATCATATCTAAGTTTCAGGAACAGGAATTTTTTTTTAGCTTACATAATCAGTAATAGTGTTCACAGCCCATCGTCATTTGAGCCTTAAAAACCGACTCGAATTCTAGTGAGACTATGCCATATATAGAAAACACATATATAGGAATAGACAGTGAAATTTCTAGTTTGAGGTATATTTGAAGGAATTATGAGATTTGTTTGTTTTAGTACTTCTTAAGACTATTAAAGCACAATCAAGAACCAAATCAATCCCCGAAAATGCCGACTGTTCCCCTTTAAGTTCGTTTACAAAGATCTTAAATCAACACACGGCATTTCAAATTATTATTTTAATATGATATCATATTTTACAACAATATCTGGACTCGATTCTCAAAAAATGACTCATCATTAGCCTCATGATGACTCTTAACAAAACTATATCTACAACACAGTCTTTGTGCCAGTGACTCATATATTTGCCATGGCATATTTGGGAACTGTAATTCTATATTTGCCATAGCATCTTTAATTCCCATCTATATTTGCCATGGCATCTTCAATTCCCATCTTCATTTGCCATGGCATCTTCAATTCCCATCTTCATTTGCCATGGCATATTTGAGTCATTATGACACTGAATAAAGCCATAAGTTGAAGATATTCATCTGCTCCATCTAGTAGACATTTATCCACAAGCTGAAAAAAAAAACAGAAAACATTACCAAATAAAATGAAGTTTTACATCCTAATTCGGTTATAACCAGAAGTTATCTAGATAGAAAAATCAATTGATTTTGCTGGATACCATCTAGATAAGTGACGGTGCCAAACCAAATATCCTGATAAGAATATCAAGAGGGTAATCACGTGACTGGACACTTCATAATGGTGTCCCCTTTTGTAAGACTTTTAACCAATCATATTTGTCAACGTATGTAATTTAGCTAATTATGAATTAATTATTGACATGTGAGACAAACTGGTATTTTTTCCAAGTCATTAGAACACCTCTACTTTATATTCATATAAGTATTAGCATTTTCATTTTCATAAATGAAAATAAGGGAACCCATCTTTAACATTGTAGTTCAGTTCCATGATGTGTTACTAAAAATCAAAAGTTATCTCAACGGTGAGAACGCAGCTATCCAGATAAGTTTCTCGAAACGAAAAGGTTTCGAAAACCTTTTTACAATCCCTTTAAATGACAAATATTGAAATACCTACCGCTATTTTTTCACAGATGACAGATTTTTGAGTGTCCGTAAGTTCTTCGGATATAACTATTCTATCGTGTATTTGATTTATAACTTGTGTAGCAGCATATCCATTATTAATCATAGTCTGAAATATAATGGAGTTTTACATCCTAATTTCTTATATTATCGCAGTGTTCAATGGTGGAAATTTTGCCAGGACTAACATTAAGCTAATCTTTTCTAATTCCAACTGTCAGTGATCATTAACGTGCAGAATCTTACGAACAGGGCCTGGGATTTTTTTGTTTCCCCCCCCCTCCCCCCCCTCCCTTTGTACCTGACCCACATGACAAAAGGGAATCCGGGTAACATAGGTAGGTACAATATCCACCATTCCAGAATCCAAACCCAAAGCGAACTCTCTTCATAAAAGTCTAAAAAACATTCAGGATACAAGCACCCAGTGACCCTACATGACCCTGTCTACTTCCTCCAAATATGTAAATGTAACAACCCAGTCTTAAAATGCCTAATTTACAAAGCTACCCTTGGAATAACCTATTCAAAACACCCCTTACCTTAATAATTTTATCCAATTTTTCATAGGAATCAGAATGACAAATTTTCAAAACTTCATCTATATTATCTGTAGGTATAACCTAAAATTAAGTATTATTTAATTAAAAATTTAGTTAATTAGGCAGATTAGGCATCAGTTTGGCCAATCGTACCTTAGTCTCACAAACAGAATTTTTTTTTAGCTAAGCTAATCAGTAATAGTGTTCACTGACGAAATTTGAGCCTTCAAATCCATGTGTGTCCAGTTCATGTCAAACAATCAAGGGTAAAGAAATTGGAGACTCGAGAACCCTTGATGAATCAGTAAAATATCAAGGGTTGAAATGTAAACAATCAAGGGTAAAGAAACTGGAGACTTGAGAACCCTTGATGAATCAGAGTAAAATATCAAGGGTTGAAATGTAAACAATCAAGGGTTGAAATGTAAACAATCAAGGGTAAAGAAATTGGAGACTCGAGAACCCTTGATGAATCAGAGTAAAATATCAAGGGTTGAAATATTGAAAACTCTAGATCCTTTGGTGATCCAGAGAAAAGAACGCCCACATTTTGATGTTTGTTATATTTGTGAAATAGCTCTGGATTCAATAAAGGTTTACGAGTCTTCAATATCTGAACCCTTGATCACTTAGTGTGACCTACCCCAGCTATTTCACAGATATCTTCAACTGTTATATCTGTATCATCTTTATGTAAGGACGAAGCACTTTGTAAATAAGTTATAGCTTTTCTTAAATCACCTTCTGATGTATCGATTAATGCCTTGATCACCTACAAAATAGACAATAGATTCATAGTAAATGAAATATTGCAGTCTCCTTACATACAGGTTCTACATGACATGCTTTGATTGGTCAAAAAAAATCATCAATAGAACTGGACTGCAGCGGAATAATTGTCAGATTACAATGAAGAAGAAAAAATATCGAAAAACAAAAAAGATACGAAATTGCAATCTATTCATTCCTACGTGTTGTTTGGGGGCTATGATTTTTAATATTTGTCCCCAAAGATTTCCCTACCCCACAGTAACAAATATCTAGACAACCATGTCTATTGAACCCACCTCATCACTACAGGTAATGTTCTCCTTCTCACTAATAAGTTTCAATCTATCACTAAGAACATTTTCAGCTAGTGGTTTAAATCTGAATTTAGCACATCGTGATGTGATAGGCTCTATAATACGGCTAACATAATTACAAATTAAACAGAATCTCGTAGTTTTAGACTGTTTCTCCATTGTTCGTCTCAAGGCTGCCTGCAATGAAATATATTTGAGAATCATTCATGAAAGCATACTTCATACAAACTCTTCACTCATAATTCCAGTCAACCCAGCTGTAAATGCAATGGGTAGGGATAATCCGGGAAAGATTAATGCTAAGAGGTTTGGTCAAGGACCAGCTGGTAGAAATGATCATTAATTAAGAAACCTTAGTTGTTATCCTTGTAAAATATAGTTGTTTCTTTCTTTTTGCAAAATTTCAAATGAAAAAGTTCTAAGAACTTGAATAAAACCACTAATAATCAAAATAATGTGATGTCTTTCTAAGCTGCCAGTGTGCAATGGTGGAAATTAATGAGCACAGCCTGTAGCATAGTGCATCTCATATCTCGTCAAATGTGAACTTCTTGCTGTCGTTACTAAATGAACATTCTCAAAGGGTCAAGCAGTGATTTTATTTTTCTTTCTATGAAAAGAAAAAATCATGATTTTTTTGTTTTCACCCATCTAGAATTATTTCGTACACAGTATTCTAACGATTACATATTTCTACCATGATTCACTTTAGCAGATAAACCTGAATTCTGTAAGTTCTTAACTAGGCTGAATCAAAATACCAAGTCTTCAGGTTAAATAACTAGAACTCTGTATTTGCCATTAGAAACCTACCTGTGCATGTGATGTCATGGAGTCAGCTTCATCTAATATAACTATTTTAAATGGGGGACATGGTTTACCACTGAAAATAATCCAAAGGCTATGTCACAAATGGTGTAAAAGGGGCATATACCGCATGCTATGGCATAGCAGGTTGCATGGAGTCAAATTATCGTTTCAAACCTTTATTTTTCATGTTGAAAGCTTCATAAAATCATGAAATGAAATGGAATTTTTGCCAGGACAGCAGCATTAGCCTTCTCTCTAGTGAGGGATCTTCAAAATGCATAGCCTGTAGCACATGGGGCCTCAGTTTATTGTCTCATTCGAACGACTAGACATTTTTTCAATGTCAGCCCCTTCCAACCTGCATCACTGACAGGGGGAAACTGGTTTGAAATATATAAGGTATTATTTTGACTTTTGCTGGATTGAACCCTGGACCTTCAGGTTAGGGAGCAAGCGTCAAACTCACTAAGCCACCACGGCTCCCTGGAACTTTCATAGTGACAGAATAAATGGTATATATGTATCATGTGGCGGAATTTCTTACTCTGATCTAGTGCCTGAAGCTGTTTGTTGAGAGAATTTCTTGACTTTAACTCTGACAACATCTATACCTCTTTCATCAGAGGCGTTTAACTCTAGTATCCTAGATCTCATTAACTCAGGCCTGGAAAAAAATAATAAACAAAAACTTAATAAAAAAAGAGATAATCTTTGAGTGATAATGAACTATTTCATTAAGTGTTATCAAAATCAAAATTGTGCCTTCTGGAATATTTACGAGCATTTATAAGAACATAAACAATAACTCATGTTAATTATTTTGTTTGATTTTCAATAAGATTTATTCTTTGGTGATAATAAACAATTTGAGTTTCCTCAAAATCCATCAAGAATTGTGTCTTCTTGAGTGTTTATGAGCAATTTTGGACAACGAACATGGGCGATGCCAATATATGCTCCACATTTCATGTATAAAAGTGCCATAATAGGCTCATAAAACTTAAATTTTAATCTGGCTCTTTCTTGATTGATACCTGTCAAAATGATATCTTACCCATATAATTCTCTAGCAGCAGCGAGTATAGTTGATGTTTTACCAGTACCAGGTGGACCATAGAATAACAGATTAGGTAACTAAAATAATGAAATTAAACATAAATTTTTGGTCAGGCTAATGAAACAGGAACACCATGCAGTGTGCAATGAGAGAATTTTTTAGCGAGGGCTGCCAATCTTGTAGATTTTTTTTGCTACCTATTTTTTGTGAATTTCAATGACCACAGTCTGTAGCTCAAGGAGCCTCGGTTTATGGTCAAAACTGGACACATAGAAGCCTTTACTTTACTTTCTGACATCCCAAGTGTCCGAATTTATATATTTTATACTTCAAAACTTACATCAGAACCTGTCAAAGATTTCTTCAGAACTAAAACCACTTCATCTTGAAAAGCAACATCATCTACACATCTTGGTCGACTGAAAAATAATGGCAAAGACTAATGAATTGCAGGCTGAACACTTCCAATTGTTTATACAGGCCAATCAACAGGCTTCCAAGTAGCAATTTAAAACTCAGTTGATTTCATTAGTTAAAATCGAAAACCATTTTGTTAACCTAAACCATCCAATCTATTTATTACTGATAATTTCTTACTATCTTTCCACCCATGGTATGTGTTTCTTGGTGTCCTTTGTATCTTTACTAGAACTACTGGCTTTGTCTTTAGTCTTCTGTAAAGAAGTGGTTCCTCCTTTCAAAAATGCCTGCATCTTTTCTTATTCCTGCAAAAAAAAAAAATTCTTTATCAATTTTTAACGCTCAACACTGTGGCTACCTGGTACAAAATTTAAGTTACCGCATGTGGATAGAATAATTTTTCGCTTGAATGTAAGATCAGTCAACAGTTGAAGGCAGTGGTAGGGCTATAAGTACCAGCCCCCACCCCCTTTCATCATTTTTGACAATGATAAGACAAAATTTCGTTTGTTTTCAAGGATTGTGAGTCTGACATCCTTTCCAGATCCTATGTGGATGCATGAAGAGACCAATTTGGCTCATGTCAACTGAATAGTTACTTTTTGTTGGTGAACTTTCACTTTCAGGAATAGGTTTTTTGTTTTTAGTCAGTGTAAATTGTAAATAATACCCACTATTTCCCGCTATTTCACTCCAGGATGTCCAGACGTAAATTCCCAACAGTTGCTTATTAAGAAATACTGGGAAATCGAGAAATTAGAAAACGGAAATGCATACCTTTCACACCTCTACATTGAAAATTTCTACTTCCAGTTGAGAAAAGGAAAACATTGAAAAAAGCAAAATAGAAGTAAAATTTAGTTAAATGCCTTATTTCTCGAATTCACAATGACTTGAAAATTTGACACTGTAGAAAACGTTGTCAGAATGGCTTTTGTTTAATATCAATTTTCAACCCAAAGTCTGGCTTGTTCAATTTTCAAACTGTCAGTTGTATGATTCCTTCCTTCATCCATTCCAATTTTCAATCATACGTCTGTGGTTCTAGAAAATTCAATATATACTTTATGGCAAATTGATGTTACCATTAGGGTCATGTACACCTACTGTTCTTTGAGAACAAGTTTAAAATGGTCTTCCCTGTGTCTCAAGCATAGCAAATTTAAGTCCATTAAATTTGCAGCTTAGGCCTACACATATGTTTTTATTTAAAACTCGGCCTTTTGGAGCACTAGCTGTGGCGTCCAAATTTTTCTTCTCTTGAGCAGGAAAATAAAAGCGTCTGCATCAAATCGCCCAGCAGGCGACAATACGTTTCACTGCTGACTGAGCTATTCAATTGAAACAGCTCCAATAGCTAGGTTTATTATTTGATGGTTCTATATATTTCAGGTAGAATACTAAACTAGTCCGAGTTGTCAAAATGGCCACAATGAATGTTGAAAAAGCTCATGAAGTAAGAGAAGTAGATACAGCAGCTGCTGGTCGTGGTGTCTGGCTTGTCAAGGTATGCTTAATCTTTATTCTAGGTTTATTTACTGGCTTGATTTAATTGCATTGTCAATTTTTGTAAGCTTTGGTGATAGGTGTTGAAAGCTGACTTTGGGACTCTTCGAAAGCACTGGCTATGGCATTAGATTTTTCTTAAGTTCAGTAGTATTCAAACTCAAGGTACCTTTATGCCTAACGCCTACCATACGACAATCCAACTAGCTATCGTCTAAGCTATTTCACTGCCACAAGGGACAATGTTCCAGCCTGGCATTAGAGAGAACATATTTACACAGTTTACCTTCCTGCTTCTATATGTCTTACAAAGATTAGTTAAAGGAGATTATTATTTTGTTACTTCTGTTATTTCTCAAATGAAAACAACTTTCTTTGATAGCATATCACTTGTGCTTTGAGTGCATAGAAATATAGGGTAATTTTACATTTGAAATAGACATATAAGTGAAGCAAATAACATCATTTTTTTAAGAGGAATAGTTCAAATGATGATAGAAGCAACAAACTTGTTTTCTAAATAATACTAATCAAACCTGCCTGATTGGTCAAATTTTCAAACTTCACATTTTTGTTATGTTTTTTTCAGGTACCAAAATACTTATCAGAAATCTGGAAAGAATCTCCACCTAATTCTGATGTTGGAAAACTCAAAATAACAAAATCAAAGTAAGATTTTTGATATCAATTTTGATCATGTCTTAGTAGCCTGTTGTCCCACAAACTGTGCAGATTCTCTTGATGCAAGGCAATTAGAAAAGAGTTGACTTATGACTGCTGTATTCAGAAAATGTCCCTCACTGCACACTGATTTCTCTGTCTCTATGGATTGTCCACTTCCATTTTCAACTGGAGGAATGAGGACTTATTCAGGATCATCAAATCATCACGCTGACCAAAATTGAAACACACAATTTGTTTAACATTATCAAATTCCCACACTCTAACCGACTGCGCTACAGTCTGCTGTACTCCAAGGTCAAACACTGATCAAGAGTAGAACCCATGTACACCTAGTTATGACTAAAGAAAGCAAATGATGTCATTTAAAGATGTCAACGCCCTAAAAGGTATGTGCTACAAACCATCCTCTGAACTATTGTCAATATTCCACATTGTTATTGTTTTTTTACAGATTGCCTGGTCAGAAGCCTGAAGTTGTCTTTACAGCCAAAGAAACCTCAGCAGATATACCTAAAGATCATAAGTTTGTGTTAACTGGTGTTGGTACACAGAATTTAGTGGTCTTTTCACAGACTCCTATATATGCTGGTATGTGGTCTTTTACATTTTTGGGAGCTGCAGTGACTCAGTGAGTTAGATGCTTGCTTGCTAACCTGGATTCAATCCCTCTATAGGTTGAGATAATACCTCAGTTTCCCCCCCTGTCAGTGATGCAGGTCGGGGGGCTAACATGGCAAAAGTGTCTAGTTGTCCCATTTGCTACAGGTAGGTAGGTAGGTAGATGACAAGTTAACCTTCGCTTCCAGCAGATGCTGATATCGCAAACTATAGGCTGTGCACCTTAAAGATCTCTCAACAGTTGGAAATTGAAAAAGAGGAGGCAAATGCAGTGCAGCTGTCCTGGCAAATTTTAACTTTCTTAAGACTCCCATTTCGTGCTGATGCAGTTGAGATTGAGACTGACTGAATGACCAGGCGCTTTCACTCAAACCTAATGATTAAATGTTTTATTATTTTGATTTTTTTTCATATTTGAAGAAAGTAAAGCTACAGGTTCCAAAGAGCTGGTCTCAGGTAAGGAGCTCTATGTAACTACATACTTGATTAAAAATTATCCTCATTATCTCCCCTTACCTGTGTATAGTATATTAGCCTAATGAAATGTGGCAGTGGAATATATATATATCAGCATCCGCTGGAAGCGAACGTTAACTTGTCACCTACCTGCCTACCTGGCAGTGGAATAGCTTAGTCAGTAGTGAGTTGGATTGTCATTTGCTAGGCGCAAAAAGGAAAATTCTGATTGCACTGCCAGTGCTTTCTAAAGTCAGCGCCATGTCGTTATTGCATTGTTGTTGCATTGAAAATGGTTATATTTGATTTTTTGTAGAAAAAATAGCAGTAGATGGAAAAGTAATACAGAGAGCTGAATGTCGTCCTATAGCAGATGAAACATATAAAAAATTAAAAAGGTATGGTTCTTTTAATATCATTCAAAGCCTTTAATGACGTCACTATCGCAAAAGCTAGCTAATATCTTGCGGCTTTTACAATAGTGATGTCATTAACAGCTTATGGCTCAGTGAGTTAGACGCTTGCTCGCTAACCTGAAGGTCCAGGGTTCAATCCCGACATAGGTCGAGATAATACCTTCTGATTTTTTAATCAGGTTTCCTCCTGTCAGTGATGCAGGTAAGAGGGGCTGACATGGAAAAAGCGTCTAGTGGTTCAGATGGGACAATAAACCGAGGCCCCGTGTGCTACAGGCTGTGGGCGTTAAAGATCCCTCAACAGTTGGAGAAAGAAAAAGAGCAGGCTAAATGCCGCTGCCTGGTAAAATTTTCCTCATGGAAAAAAATCCTCAAAAAAGGATGTAAAACTCCATTCATTTTTCCTTTCATTAAAAGCTGAATTGTAGCTGAAATGCAAATTTTATAAATAATTTTTTCAATGAGAATTGAAATATCAGCTGTGAAATAGTATACTTCACTTTGGAAATTGTTTTAATAGAGAAAAATTCATCCAAAATTTGTGACATTTTCATTTGAAATTACTGTGTATCATTTTTTATCATCTTTCTATTGACACCTTGTAGCTCTTAGTGTCACACTTATATTAATCATTATTTTCTAGGTTTAATTTTGAACAAGGTAATAAACCTAAACGTGAAATAAAACAGTTAGATAGAATAGTACAGGTTTATAAACCAAAAGATTATGTTTCTGCTGTGAGTATTGTTTTATTATTTTATTACATATATTATGAAACAGAGGTGGTTTTGTAACATTTTTATGTGTATTCTGGACACTGATATCATCGATTTGCACCATTCAATTTTTCACTCAGATGTCTATAAAACCTTGCGTTGATTTAGTTTAAGTGGAATTGCAAGACCCACAACCGTGTATGACTGAAAACTGGAACAATGCATTTTGATAAAATGGTCCAGAACATGAGATGCAGACCAATTTTGTTACAGTATGGATTTGTTAACATTTGCAATTCAATTTTAAACAACTGAATCTGAATTTGTTAAGAAATTGTTAACTGGATTTGTTAATATTTAAATCTGGATTTGTTGATATTTAAATCTGGATTTGTTAATATTTAAATCTGGATTTGTTAATATTTAAATCTGGATTTGTTAACTTTTAATTTATCAATGTTTGAAATAGTATTAGTTATCATGTCAATCTGGATTTGGTAAAGGTTTATTTGGATTTGTTAATGTTTCAAACTAGATTTGCAAATGTTTGATTTGTTAATGTTTGACTCTTGATTTGTTAACAATTGAATCTTACTATGAAAATGTTTGATTTGTTAAAATTTAAATCTGGATTTGTTAATATTCAAAATTGGATTTGTTATCATTTAAATCTGGATTTGTTAATATTCAAAATTGGATTTGTTTACATTTGAATCTGGATTTCATATGTTACACAACACAAATCGAAACAATTAAATGTGATGCATTCAAAACTGTTATGTAAATTTTCCTCAGTGCACACTGCACTGTGTTGCCTGTCTTTATTAACCCAATCTGATGCCAATAAAAATTACCTATATATCCATTTCATTTTATTTTATAGTTTGAAGAAAATCGTAAAAAGAAATCAGAAAATAAAAGATCACGAGCTGATAAAGATAAGGTTATGGACATGTTGTTTTCAGCATTTGAAAAACATCAATATTATAATGTACAAGATTTAGTTCGAATTACCAACCAACCCATTGTAAGTTTCGTATTTTTTCATTGGGCACCTTGTTCATTCAGTCATTGACTGGAAGTTATTCGTCTTATACCGTGACTGAAATAGCCACCTTTTTTGTATTATGGAATGAAGGTATTTGATTGGATTGTATGCTAGCGAATACAGCCTATCAGAGCCCTCAACAGAAAGACTGTATATCTTATTGTTTACAGATTTTCTATCAAGTAATTTGATTGGCTGTATTTGCTGGCATATAATTCAGCTAAATCGCTGCATTTACAAACCTCCTTAATACAAGAAATATGACCATTGCAGTCAAGGTATAAGACAAAGTTTTTAATACCTTGACATTGTGAGAAAAAAAATTACAAGTGTCTTTTTGTAATATGACCCTTGACAATCCCGTCGTAAATTTTTATTTTCAGCCCTATGTGAAAGAAATTTTAAAAGAGATTTGCACTTACAACATGAGAGCCCCTCATAAGAATATGTGGGAACTGAAACCTGAATTCCGACATTATAAAGAACAGTCTTGATGATTGTTCTATTAGGAAATCTATAGACTACATTGACCAGTCACTTTGAGCAGGAATTCAGACATTATAAAGAACAGTCTTGATGATTGTTCTACTTCAGATCTATAGACAGCATTAATCAGACATTTTGATGCTTAAAGTGTCATTTTGATTCAAAATTTATAAATTTTAAAGAACAGTCTTGATGATTGTTCTATTAAGAGATCTATAGACGGCATTAATCAGACATTTTGATGCTGAAATTGTCATATTTATTCAAAATGAAGACATTATAAAGAACAGTCTTGATGATTGTTCTACTAAGAGATCTATAGACTACATTATCCAGAAGTTTTGGTGAAATTTGTTATAAAATTTTATCGGATGTGCCTACCACATTAAAAAAAGACTTAAAACATTAAGTTCAATATATTTCTGAAAGTGCCTATCACTTCCAAAAATAAGAAAGGTGACCATGTGGCACTCTAAATTTTTACTATAAGGAAATATTTTCATCTCAATTGTAAATGTGTTGTTTTGTGAATAAATATTCATATGAATCATTGTGTGATTCAAAATGAAAGAGGAAATACCATGGGTTACCATTTTAAACATGCAAAAGACTTTTTGGCCATATTGTGCAACATAGCGCAAAAAAAAACTGTATCCATTCTTCAGAAACCTACAATAGTGCCAAGTGTAGTTCTGCTTGTTAGTTAAGAGCGAAATTGGTCTCTTCCAAATGACATAAAGGAATTGTAAATAAGTTTTCTAGCTTTTTATGTGTATCAGGATGACTATATTGTGGCACTATTCATATTTTCTGTAAGATGTCCGTGGTTCCTGTTATCATAGAAATGCTAAGCTGCATATGTTACAAATGCTACTAGTAATATCTTTGGTCGTTGCCATAGCTACTTGATAAAATGCTTAGTTTTACTGGAACTGTAAGACTTCTAACTGAAAATTGAGAGTTTTTATGATCAAAAAAGAAACAATTTATGTAAAAAAAAAAATAGATTATTTATTAATAAATTAGTTATAATGATTATTTACAATGTAATAATAACAAGTATAACAAGTATAACAACAATAACAAAGTTGACTGTTATAATATAATATTGAATATGCTTTATCAAGATGAACTAAAATAAAGTCATCTAAGCTTATTAAAATATTAAAATATAACTATATCAAAAATAAACTTGAGTTTATGTATATATACCGTAGACAAGATTGGCCCCTACTTTAAACACATAAAATGAGTTGTGTTCTACCAAAAAAATATCTTTAAGCAGGCTTATATATAATAAAATAAATTTGAAAAAATTTGTTAATGAAAAACAAGGCATAAAAGAGCCTTTATAAAGTTATACTTAAAAATTTGTACAAAGGCAGACAAAAAGGCATCTGCAAATCATTTACAAGGCATTTATAATACAAAATTTAAATGCATTTATATACATAAGAGGCATTTTTCAAATGCTTACCAACATAAGTTATTATTGCTAAAATACAATAATATAACAGGTATTTATAATAAGTTATGTAAACACATCAGAGGCATTTTCAAAGGTTATGTGCTTTAAATCAACATTATTATAAATCACAGGCATTTATAATACAAGGTTTACAGGAAATAGAGACATTTTAACCTGTTGAACACTTTGAATAGGCTACTATTTGTAAAATACAATAACATAAATAGAAGGCATTATTATACAAAATATAAGCATGTCAGAGGCATTTTACATGCTTTTTATACTTTTTATAAAAATAATAAATTCAAATGTTAACATATGAAGTCCAGATTCAAATGTTAACAAATCCAATTTTAAAAGTTAACAAATCCAGATTCAAATGATAACAAATCCAATTTTAAATGTTAACAAATCCAGATTTAAATATTTACGATTTCTTAACAAATTCAAATTCAGTTGTTAGAAATTCAATTTCAAATGTTAACAAATCAAACATTTTCAAATTCAGATTCAAATAATCAAGAGTCAAATGTTAACATTTGCAAATCTAGATTGAAACAACAAATCCAGATAAAACAGTACCAAATCCAGATTGACATGATAACTAATCCAAATTCAAACATTGATAAATCAAATGTTAACAAATCCAGATTTAAATATTAACAAATCCAGATTTAAATGTTAACAATTTCTTAACAAATTCAGATTCAGTGGTTAGAAATTCAAATTCAAATGTTAACAAATCCAATTCAATAGAAAAAGGCACTCTATTTACAATTGAATTGAAAAACATATGAAAAAAACCACACCTCCACTTTAAGCATTACCCTAACCACTTGTCCCATGCAAAATATTGACTGTATCAATCATTATTGGCCCTATTTTAGTTCCATATTCAAAATCTTTGGAATGTTACCTCATTGAGACTTGGTCCTATTGGAAGGCTAAAAAAGCCCCAAAGTTTCTGATGGTTCATAAAAAATGCATCGAAACTTTGATGTGATAGTGGACGTAAAAAAACGCAATGTTTTTCTTTGGAAGGTGGTTGATATTTAGTATCCAGCATCCACTAAATGATCTCTGATGTCACAAATTTGGCTGGTGTTATTAGCTGGTTGTACACTATCATTATCATAAATTCCCACAACCAAACCTGAAAAGACAATTGAATGTTTGTACCAAATGACTAACCAGATGTTTGTAATCATTGTCATACAATCAAACTTACAATTACAAAACAGATGGTTGTTATCACAAATTCTACAACCATACCCTTAGAGTTACATACATCCTAAATTACTACAACGAAACTTGAAAAAGCCGTTAAATGGAGGACTACAAATTGGATGGTGTTATCGGAAATTCCTACAACCAAGTCTGAAATGAATTTGCGATGGTTGTTATCCTACATTCTTACACCCAATCCTTAAATTACAAAAAACAAAGTTGTTATCATATTTCTATGACAAAGAATGAAATGACAAGTATGATGGTTGTGATCCACATACAAATACAATACAACCCAAATCGACGGTTGTTATCTCTGCGAAAAATAGGAAAAGGTATACTTACATGTATTAGATTTAGCCACGGTACAGCCTGCTCCCCGGTCAGTAGATTTCAATATAACAAAATTGGATGACGGATCGTTTTTTAAAACGAAGTATTTCTTTCCGCCCAATTCTACCTTACTGACTGCGGCCGCTCCACGATCTATAGCGTCGTGCATTTTCTTCAAGGAGGTCGGATTTATCTGAAATGTAAAAAACAGAAGCAACTTAGTGACAAGTTTCAGCAAGGTAGGCTGTAGAGGATCGTTAAGGGACCACATAGCTGTTAAGGGGAAAGGAGGCTCACTGCACCAGTCGTTTAAAAACTCAATGATGAGAACTTTGAAATCGGAGGAGAGTAATGTCGGGTCGGTCGCATTTCTGGGGTGATGCCAAGATCGACATGGATGAGCTTGATAGGCATCAAATGTGGCCATCCCTACTGTAAATGGGTTCTGGGGAAAGCGGTGTGGTCAAGGACCAGCTGGTAGAATGGAACCTAGTGAGACTAAGACCCGAAGTTGTTATCCTTGTAAAAGTGCAACAATCTGATACTTACCCGCTTCATGAAGTCGTCTGTTCCCGCCCACAATTTACCATCAAAACCGAATAATCCACCGTGATGAGCGCTGACATATGAAACTCCATCAATATTTCTATGCAGCAATTGCCGAGTCCAAACATCCCATCCGCTCATCTCTGAAATGACAAGATTTTGTAAGAATGTTAACACCAAACAAAAACTGCGACTTCAAATAGATATAGCACTATGACGTCAAGCCATTATCATAGTAACTAATATGACGGTTTAGTTTCAGTTTAACACCTCCTATTCTACCCTGCGTCACAAAATCGAGATTTCGGATAGTTTAGTGTTTAAGTGATATGATTGGTAGATCACCATAATGAATTTAATTTTTGAGCTTTATTTTAACCAATAAGATTGTCATTAGCTTTAAATTTTTATGAACGCACTGGATAAAATAAATATGAAACGTTAACGACCATTTTCAGTATCTGATTAATTAATCAGATGAAACGGAATGAAATGGGAGTTGATGAAACTTTGGATCATGATTGCACACAATATCCCTTTAAACCTACTTTTGTGGCAATCATTTAGTCGTGGCCTTATTGCGACATTTGATTTTATGTCTCTTGGGAAATTTGGCAAAGAGCAAATATTAATAGGCCTAATATCAAAATGTATATGAAAGGTTTCGTTCAATTAACTCCTACAATAGTGAACTTCAGGCATTGCATTTGGGGTGGCGGGATTCCCCTCGTGTATCTTGCACCCCAACACACCCACCCCCACCCCAATGCTCCAATCTGATATTTTGTGGCACAGTTTTGTTGCATATTTGCGAACTTATGCCCCCCCTCCCACCCCCCAAGGCCCTAACCCAACGTCCCTCTTCTATCAATACAGCAGCCCGTCTCAACCCCGGTATAAGAAAAACGATACTGTAAAGATTGATATGTATATCAGGTATATATTTATCATAATCATGATTTGTTAACGCTGCCTTTGAAAACATATATACATGTAAACCCATTTTGGGTATTTAATACAAACAAAATCAAAATATACAAATATACAAATGTTCCCTAACGATTCCCTGACAAAGATCCTTGACATCTTTCTTTCATAGTAATTTCATTTCAACAATTAAATAAACCTTTTAGTCGAAATAAGAATTAACCGACCGTGATCATGACATCATTGTCGTCATCATCATCATTCATCATGGCATCATCATTCATCATCATCATTAATCGTTTATGGTCATCATCATCATCAATCATTATCATTACTATTATAACTCATCATGATTCGTCCTCATCATTATCATCGTCATCATCATCATTCGTCCTCGTTATCATCATCATCATCATCGATGTAAATTCGTCGTCCTAAAGGAAATTTCTTACCTTGCTCAAGTCGTTCTTCCACGATATAGAGCTTTATTCAGTTCAAATATTGAACCTACAACATAGAAAGCTATTCGTCACTAGGGCAGTCATGAAAGGTCGACCTCGACACGCATGATGAAAGTAGCTTTGATCACCTATGTATTTTTAGAAACGCCCCAAAAACCGCATTAAATAAATTTTTACGCTTTGTAAGCAATAAAATTCGAGTGCAATAAGACCAGCTCTGAAAGACGAAGTGGATTTTTACGTCCTACCTTTCTGCCTCTAATTAGACTGATGAAGACGAACACAAGCCATGAAGTATGCAATGGCGGAAAGTTTGGCAAGACAGTTGCATAAGCCTATACGTTTCGTTTTCCATCTGTCGAGGGGATCCTTTATATGGAAGTCATGCCATATGGAAGTCATTACGCAAATCATTTCCTACACGCATTATTTGAATCAAACTTTATAAGTCAACGAATTTTTTTCCTTATGTTTTCCATATGACGAAGCGAACGTTTGATGCTTGTCTTGACATTATGGAAGACGAAATTTGACGTTAAATGCAACGTTGAAGGAAGGCCAAATGGACAAAGATTTCATTTATGCTTTCGACACGTATTTCGGATATATAACTTCGTCAGGCCAGCTTATGTTTAAATCTTTTAAATAAGGGGTTAAATGGCCAATATTTTGAAAGCAACATAGACGATATTATATAAAGTACGAAAATTTGGTCTCAAAGATGCTGTTTCGGATATAAACCCTCGTCAGGACAGCTAAGATGGTAAATAATGTAAATGAGGGTTCAATTTCCAATATTTAAGCTAAGAACACATATACCGAGAACGGTCTACGCTTAATACAATCGACCACCAACGACAGGTCCTTTTGTGATTTGTCGCAAGACAGAAAATAACTGTCATTGTGCCACTAATTAAACCACGCATGCTCGTGATAATTCTTAAAACTAGTCCAAAGCGGATAAATGCAAGCTTTAACTAGATAAAGCTATATATATTTCCACACAAAAAATACCCACTGGTCTTATAGAAAGTTACAACGTTCTACCCTTAGTCACTCAACCATTAGATTTGCCTACAATCTATCCAGATTCGAACCCATGGAACGAAATCGAAATTTGAAAAACTCAATATTGTACTCAATCAAATCTGTACTGGCTTAAAAAGAAACCCACCAAACTTTACGAACGGGTATGAGCAATCTATGAGAATACTTAAATCAGAAAGATTCTAAAGAAATATAACGCAAACTGGAAAAAAAGAAACCCATACGCTTATCGAACAGTAATGAGCAATCTACAAAGATTCTCAAATCGAGAAGATTCTCTAAAAAACGAGCATAACCAACGTAAATATGAGCGCGCTGGTATTATAACGAACCTAAGCGCTTATTGAACAGGAGTGAGCAATCTCCTCTGATTCTCGTATCGGAAAGAGTTCCCTTAACGTGCGCTAACAGGTAAACAAAAATAACTGGACTTACCTTTGGCGAATAAAAGCATTATGATTTTTTTGGTATCCGTTTTGAATGATTTATATGAATAATATTTCGTATAAAATGTAATAATATCGTAGTACGACTAAGATAGTCTATTCATACGAAATAGAGCAAATTAACATGTGTTACTACTATACGCCGTTTATACGCTTAAATCTAATGTTTCATAGTTATTTTTAGATCCGAGTGACCGTGCAATGCTTTGGTAGGTACGTCATGCCGTGCTGCCCTTAATGCATCTTCACAATGTTAAGCTATAACGAACTACCTACATATACCTTGACTGCAATATTCTTGTATTACGAAAGTTTGTAAATGCAGTGATTTGATTGGATTGTACGCTAACGAATACAGCTAATCAGAGCCCTTGACAGAAAGGCTGTAAACATTATGGCTTGTCGTTCACTGACTTTTTGTTGAGGCCTCTGATTGGCTGTATTTGCTAGCGTACAATACAATCAAATTGTTTCATTTACTCACTTCTATTACGTAAGAACGATGAATAGTTCAGTCGAGTACAAAGTTCATAAAAGGTTGACATAGTGAAGATGTTATGAAGTCAATCTATTTTAAGGGCGGGATTCGGTTAATGTGTTAATAATCTTATGACGTTTTTTGCATACGTTGCGAAAGCTTAATGAAGTCATATTGTGTGGACTCCGTTAATGAAATCTTATGAAGACTTTGTGATACTGAATAAAAACTATGCTATATTGACGGTATATTCCAATCCCCCCCCCCCCCTTCCTTAAGACAAGAACATTCCTCATGCCCCGGTCTATGTTTTTGTATATCAGTCAGAATCACTCTGCAAACTCCCAAAAAAGAAATCCTAAGCGCTCAATATTATACATTCTGAAACATATTAGAATGCAAGAGCATGTCGGTGAAATAAACCAACCGTTTATTTCAAGTCAACCGTTTTATTCTGGTTTTATCTGGGTCTGGCCGCTTTGATCATTGCATCATAGATCGGTATTTCCCAACCTTAAATCCGGGAATTCTTACCCCCACCATCGACATGCCCCTTAAATTGAAAATAAGGGAGGGGGGGGGGGTATCTTATAGTCCTACAGGTTATACTTTTTGTGAAAGGGTGTGTGGGAGAAGAAGAGGGGGGAAGGGAGTTATGGAAGGAGAAGAGGTCGATAGGAAACGTTTTTAGGGATAATTTGGGTAGATGAGATGAGATATAAAAGAACATTGTAGATCCTCGAAAGCATTGAGACTGGCATAAAAATCTTGTTCTAAACTCATGTATAATTTGCTCAAATTGATGAAAGAGTTCAATAGTCAATACTAATGTAGAAATATCATGAACACATGTTGGTTTTAAAATGATCAGGGTCATACAATGGTCAATCAAATATTTACAGAGGCAGAAGAATTAATCCGTGCCTAGTGGGATTTTGACAAGACCCCCCCCCCCCCCCCCCCCTTTTTCCCTCCATCGATCACTAACACTTTCACCAGTTCCTACGCCTACAGCCTACTTGTAACAACAATTTGGTGGGAAACACCCATAGATGTGAATCAAGTTCGTTGTTGAATGAATCATTCAGTATATCTACTATAGATTAAACAGTTCTATGAAAACCAAACGCGATTCTTATATCACAAGATATCCGTTTCCCATTAGCTAGAAATAACCTTCTTCCTTTAGATATTAATTAACTAGAAATACAACAAGAGCGAGCGGGTAAATTTTACCCTGTTGCACACTGCAACGTTATTTGTTTTCCATTAGCCTAATCAGATGCAGATATGTAGAATTTCTTTTCATTCATTTCATGTTGCCGACATGTGTTTTGGATATACACTCCCCATCAGGGCAGCTGATAGCAATATGCCTATACATGTATATTGAAATGAGACCACAAACAAGTTAAAAAAAAACCTAGCGATTACGGGAGTGGGATAGGGAATTTGGACTTGACCTTGCCCGACTCAACCCTTCTCCTCAGCACCCGCCCCCCGCCTCAATTACAATTTTTTTGTTAATAATTTGTCAACTCGGCATTCTTTTATAGTGTTCACATAGGTTCACATGGTATAAAATACTACTTATATTTATATTGAAAACATGGGTGTGATTTTCTTTTGTTGTCTATGATTGGGTGGATCCTCTTGGAATTCCTTTGGAGGGTTTACAAAGAAATTACGTTTCGTTTGATATAATCATAAAAACACTTCCGATAATGTTAGAAGCAAAAACAGCAAAGGAAATAAGAATACATTATCATTTTCCACTCTGCGATTGGTGTTTTCAACTCCGCATTTCTTTCAGAGAGTTCACAAAGAATTCAAGGTTCATCATATTGATAAAGCACTATCAATATTGTCACAATATAATATTCTATAATACTACAATTTTAATTGGATTCAACTCTACAACGGGCTTTGTAAACTCAACATTCCATTTAGAGAGTTCACAAAGAGACCAAGGTTCATGTGGTATATCATCATCTTCACAGTGTCAAGCTTTTACAAACTTCGTACTTATACCTTGACAACACAAAGCCATAATGTTTACAGCCTTTCTGTCGAAGGCTTTGAATTGCTGCATTCGCTGGCGTACAATCCAATCAAATCGCTGCATTCCGTGTTACAGAGAAGATAGAAAGATGACTATTGTAGTCAAGGTATAAGACGAAGATGGTGCTATAAGTATACACTGGCAACATTGTCATATGGGAGGAGAAATAAAAATACGGAACATCTGTAGGCAGATCGTGACAAAATACTTAACCCTAGAAACATTGAAAGGTCAAATTGAACGACATGGAACCGATTCTTATATTTCATTGAAACATACACAAAGAATGGAATTCAAATTTTTAAAATAAAGTAATTTGATTGGTTAATAAAAAAGATCAACGTTTTATGATTCATCTTTCAGATCGTTGGAACAACTTGAAATTCGACATTGCAATAGAAACGTCCTTCTGTGTGCAATGAAGCAATTTTTTCCATTAATGCGGCTTCAGCTTGCTCTTTTTCGATTTCCAACAGTCGAGGAATCTTTAACGTGTAAGTTTTATTGTCCCATGGGAACGACCAGACGCTTTTTCCATGTCAGCCCCTCTTACCTGTATTACTGACAGGGAGAAACTGAAGG